CAAAAAGTTCTTAATGAAAAAATATTTAATTATAGTGTTTTCGAAAGCTCTTAAAATAAGCTACGAGAATATGCAATAAAAAATAGGGTGTACTGAGAATATTTGGATGTATTTGAAAAAATCAACGTAACCTTCGTATAACTTTCAAACAACTATTCAAGATCAAATCAATGACACCGTCTTATGTACACCTCGAAGCCATACAACTTCTGTCTGAAACATGTTTTACAAAATATTTTGTATTTTATCAAAATGTTGAAATTTTCAAGTCTTATAACTCAAAAAGTTCTTAATGAAAAAATATTTAATTATAGTGTTTTCGAAAGCTCTTAAAATAAGCTACGAGAATATGCAATAAAAAATAGGGTGTACTGAGAATATTTGGATGTATTTGAAAANAAGAATTTATAGAAAATTAATTCACCAAAATAACGAATAAATTCTTGAAATAATTCTAAATTGTTTTTATATTTTTTTATTTATGATAATAAACACAAATATTTTATAAACATTTTTATGATATGTTACTGATTAAACATATTATCTATTATGTTACATATCACACTGCAACATTGATTATTTATGAAAAAAAAATTTATATCCTATAATAAAATACATCAATAAAAAAAAAAAAGAGATTTGAACCCCGAACTTCGTCATGCGACGACAGTTGCGCGCCGTAGTACCCTTGGCTACTTCGTTTGTATAAGGATGGGCGTTAAAACTTGTATTTAACTTAGTCCCTTTTGTGGGGGCTTAAGTTTTGTATTTACGTTTAATTATTTGTTCTGTCTTAATTTAATATTTTGATACTATAATTTTTAATTCATAATTAGGGATGTATTATTTATTTATAGATGTTTTATAATGTTATTTCGTATACATTTATACGTTACAATCTCTCAAAAGTGGGGAGTTGGAATCGACCAATGAGCGTTCAGTAAGAGAGAGATAGCTGTCACCTCTAATCTACCTTTCTCTCTCGCACCCTAACCACACTATTATAACACTGGCAGCATAAGGCACGCTTCCTCCAATAGTATATGCTCTAAGTGTACGACCCAGTGTTTTCCAACAACGACAAGTCAATACAATTATACACAGTTAAAATGTTGTGTTTATTTTGTGTCACTACATGTGTATCAATATTTTTACTTTTGAGATATAATATTTACAGCAAAAGTATCTTTGCAATTTTACGTTATTATGAATCAATAAGTTTGTTCGTTTTCGCTGCGCCGCTGAACTAGTGCAATAAGTTGAAGTGAGAAAACATATACTTGTCTCTCTTCAACTTATGCACTAGTTCAGCGGTGCAGCGAAAACGAACAGACCTCTAGTTTTTCCCAGTGCGGTTCAGTTCAATTCAGTGCAGTTCTAGTGCAGTTTAAAAAAACAGACCTAGTGTTTCGTTGTTGAGAAGCACTCACAATTATTTTACCTAGAACATTAAAAATAATAACAACAATTTTGTTTTTAATTGTATAATATACGTACCAAATTGAAATTGTATAATATACGTACCAAATTGATTCTTCTTAAACGCTTCTTCATTTACCTCTATCATGTCTGAAAACATATTATATTTCAATAAATTTATATCTTATAAGCGTGTGATATTATTTAATATTAAGCCATATTCTAGACATATTCTTAAAATATTAGATGTAATATTATAATAATATTCTAATAATATTATATATTTTTTAAATATTCAACTATATATATATATATATATATATAAGTGCTAAGTATATATATATAACATATATAATTGTAGTTTTTTTATATCAAAGGTATTATAATACCAATTATTTTATCATATAAATAAAATCGAAATAATTTTACGTAAAAATACATTTTATACTAAAAAAAGTATACATATACGTATATGTATATATATAAGTATATATACAGGATGTCTGAGATTACCTGTACACTCCTTTTATTTTGGAAACAGAGTATTTTAGAAAAAAACATTTCAGACCAAAGTTGTATGGCTTCGAGATGTATATAAGATGGTGTCATTGATTTGATGTTGAATAGTCGTTTGAAAGTCATATGAAAGTGAGAGGCAAGGGGACTTACGTTAATCTTACACCCCGAACGTGAGAAATAAAGAAATAATGAATTTGTAATAAGCAATTACACAATTTTTCAAAGATAATTATGTGTTTTTATTGCCCATTGATTAGTCTCATCATTCTGTGCATAAAAGTATTAGGATAGATTACCGAAAACTGAATGTTTTACAAAATATTTTGTATTTTATCAAAATGTTGAAATTTTCAAGTCTTATAACTCAAAAAGTTCTTAATGAAAAAATATTTAATTATAGTGTTTTCGAAAGCTCTTAAAATAAGCTACGAGAATATGCAATAAAAAATAGGGTGTACTGAGAATATTTGGATGTATTTGAAAAAATCAACGTAACCTTCGTATAACTTTCAAACAACTATTCAAGATCAAATCAATGACACCGTCTTATGTACACCTCGAAGCCATACAACTTCTGTCTGAAACATGTTTTACAAAATATTTTGTATTTTATCAAAATGTTGAAATTTTCAAGTCTTATAACTCAAAAAGTTCTTAATGAAAAAATATTTAATTATAGTGTTTTCGAAAGCTCTTAAAATAAGCTACGAGAATATGCAATAAAAAATAGGGTGTACTGAGAATATTTGGATGTATTTGAAAAAATCAACGTAACCTTCGTATAACTTTCAAACAACTATTCAAGATCAAATCAATGACACCGTCTTATGTACACCTCGAAGCCATACAACTTCTGTCTGAAACATGTTTTACAAAATATTTTGTATTTTATCAAAATGTTGAAATTTTCAAGTCTTATAACTCAAAAAGTTCTTAATGAAAAAATATTTAATTATAGTGTTTTGGAAAGCTCTTAAAATAAGCTACGAGAATATGCAATAAAAAATAGGGTGTACTGAGAATATTTGGATGTATTTGAAAAAATCAACGTAACTGTCTGTTTCTTTCTAAAATACTCTGTTTCCAAGATAAAAGGGGTGTACGGGTAATCTCAGACATCCTGTATATTTTATTTATATTCTTCTATATTATTATTATTTTATTTTTTTTTTAATTCTAAGATCATTTATATAATATGTCAAGAATATTATATAAGTGGACATATAACATCAATAGAACATTTCTATAATATTAAAAAATATTACATAACATTCTTAAAATATTATATAATATAATAGGAATATTATTTTAATATTAAATAACATTCATATAATATTCTAGAAATATTATACTTATACTTATAGGGTATATTAACGATTATTTCTTTTTTTGTGTTGGCGACTCTCGTCACTGTGCTGTATATTAACAGTTGAAACTTAAATTATAATCTATTTGTTTCTCTAACATATACCAATAAAATATAAATACATCTATTTATTTATTACATTTTCAGAATAATAAACATTAATTATTATGAAAATAACAAAGTGTATACGTACTTTTTTATTTCTTTCTCGATATTTATTTTTTATAAAATGAGTAAATTTGTAAATTTGTAAACGTTCTCGCAAGTTCCTTTTCATTCGCTGCTAATTCGATTATCCCACGGGCACAATTTAGAAATCCGATTAATCTAGGGAACTTTTTTCTCTAGTATATTAATAGCACTGCAATTGATCCTATTGGAAATCCGATTATTACATATAAACATCCACATACACTATAGTTTGCAATACTATAGCGGAACGCTGTCCGAGTCGGGTCGAGTCAGCAAATTGTAAACACCAATAGATATTTCCGGTTGCCAGTGGAGTCTACAATGAGAATTTAAGCTCTAAGTCGTAAGAAATTGATCAATCACAATTAATTATTTTCCTCACACTCGACTGATTGGTTAATTTCTTAAAGCTTAAATCTTATATTTTCATTGTAGACGCCGTTTTAAGTGTCGGTCTATCATAAATATTTTAAGACTTAAAATTCTTATACTTAAACCTTAAGAAATTGACCAATCACAGTCGATTATTCCCCTCACATTCGATTATGATTGGTCAATTTCTTAAGGCTTAGAACTTAAATTCTCATTGTAGACCCCACTCAATTTGTCAATGTAATTAGTTTAAATTTAGGTCGGTTTTACCAACGCGAGTTAATCGACAAATTTGATTAACATTCGTTGCTGAATCTGAGCCTTAAGGATTTAACAATAAAGACCAATAATCACTGGCTGCGTTCAGCAGAACGTTTAGTTTGCTGTTGGAAATTTCCCATGCTGACATTGGATTTTTCTTGTAGATCTAAAAGAATAATCCAATCTTAGCTTAGAAACTTCCAACAGTTGCAAATTAAACGTTCTGCTGAACGTGACCATTGACTCACTAATTGCTTTATTCTGTTGATTGCAGCCATTGGCTACGTTTAGCAGAGAAAGCAACTTTTTAACTGTTATAAAATCCGTGAATTTGATTGGTGTATGCTCTTAAGCCAGCGGCATACGATGCTCGTTTTCGTGCTGGGTTGCTTGTTGGATGGAAATACTGTATTCTAATTGTATTATATTGTATTTCCAAAAATAAATGACAATACACCAGTCAAAACGGAGTATTTCTATCCAGTCAACAATCCTACACGAAAATAAGTATTATGTGCCGATGTCTTTAGATTTAACCAAGATTAAGAGCATACATCAATCAGATTTATGAATTTTACAACAGTTGCAAAATTATTTTTGGTGCTTTCCATTTGGTGATACAAATCGCTGCAAGTATCATCCTATCTTTGTTATTCATTGAATGCGAACAGAGACAAGATGATGTTTGTGTCGACTTATGTCATCAAATTGGAAAGCACCCTTTGTCTGCTGAACGCAGCCATTGAAGCCATTTTATATCCATTTTATATATTAAATTTTCCTAAGACCACTAGATGGCAGTTTATAAAAACGATTGTAGCTCCTCTATCGGAGATAAAGTTATACTAGCCAGTACTACGATTGGCAACGAGTCAAGCACGAGCTAGATAAGTGATTAAAAAATGGCATCCGTGCCGACGTCGCACAATGAGGTTTCACAAGAATTTTCTGTCAACAAACTCATACGTGTCGGTTATTATGAGTTAGAAAAAACTATTGGCAAGGGAAATTTTGCTGTAGTTAAAATGGCCACCCATGTCGTAACGAAATCTAAGGTAGGAAACGCCGTAGAAGTCTTACAGTTGCAAACATGAAATCCGTCATTTTGTCGTTAATATCTTTTAGATAGTTATGTGAATACTTCTCTCATCTTTACGTTTTCAAAATATACATTAATATAATTATATTTCGTTATTCAAGTAACTGGTAACTTTAAAAAATGTATGTTAACTTGTCAGTGTCAAAACAGCGTTGTTATATTGTTTAAAATATATAGATCATAAGTTTCTGAAACCTTCTTATTAATAATTATAGATCAGATATTTCAAATGAAACAAAAACTACAATATCTCAAGTTGTAATAAAATGATAAATGATATAAATTTTAATTTTTCATGTTTCATCATGTATCATATTATATGTAATATCAGGAAGATATTTTCTATTGATTGTATATTTGTTTTTTTTGTGACAATATATCTAAATTTTATTTTCTTTAATCTTCTTTTTATTTAAAATATGCTATATGAGAGAACAGATTGATG